CACCTTAGGTGTATGTGGCTGGCGCCTTAGCTGGTTGAGCTATAGGTGCTGAGCCAGAAACTTTTAAAAATTTTTTAAAAGAAGGAAAAATGAAAAGGGTAGAAAATAAAGTCAAAGAAAGCTACCACCTCAACTAAAAAAAAGAGAGAGAGAGATATTTAAAAATAGAAGAGAAAGAGAGAAAGAGATAGCAGTTCAGAAAATCAGTCTGGGAGATCCAGTATCAAATTAGTAGAAGTTTTAGAGAAAAGAATGAAAATGTATGAGAGCCTATTATCAAATTAATACTAGAAAACATCCCACGATATGTATTTGCAAAGGAAGGGGCCCATGGTGCCCAGCATAATTAAAAGACTTACATCACTGTAAGGTACCACAGCACTGTCAAAGCACACCAAGCACTATTCTATAGCACACCAAGAATAAGGAGAAGATCCTTAGGGTTAGGGTTAGGGTTAGGGTTGGTAGAAAAACCAGGTAGCATTCAGAAACCGAAGTATCAGAATGGTGCTGGACTTTCCAATACAGCATTACAAGCCAGGAGACAATGAAACAATTACTTCAAACTGGTAAGAAAAAATGATTTTCTACGCAGCCAAATAACTGACTATGTGGAAGATACTGGATGATGTGTTCCATCAAAACAAGGAGTAAGCCATTGCTGGAATCCCGCCAACGGGCCATGGACTCCTGAGTTCCCACCTTTAATTCTAGTCTGTGTCTCATGTCTCTTTCTTTGTTGTTTCTAACTTTATATTTCTTCACTTGGTCACTGCCAGTTCCACAGGTCTTAGCAGACTCTGCTTCTGGGGTGGGACCCCAACAATTTTGGAATAAAACTACTATGAATATTAAAAAACAAAAAAGGAGTAAATCAAGAAACCAAAAGGACACAGAAGATGAAAAAAAACCACCAACAACAATAACCAGCAAGAATCTAACATAGGAGAAATATGAAGAGAATTCCTAGGACGTACCAGGATGACAGGAGTGTAACGGGCCAGAGTGGAATAGGATGACAGAGGTCTCCAGGGTGAAGTATCACAAGTATCCAATGTACTCCACACTAATATGAAACCAATATATAAAGACTTACATGTTCCTACAAACAATTAAACACTATTATAGCCCAGTTCGGGGGTAGAGGGAAGCGGGAGGAAGGAGAGGGCAGGAGGCAGGATCTCACCTCCTGTGCACATTGTGAGGGTGTATAACACGCCCCCTGGGTGAGGGGTTCTTCTACAAATGGGACTTTACCCTGGAAGTGAGAACAATGTAACCTAAATATTATACCCTCAGATTAATTTGAATAAAGTTTAAAGAAATGATAAACTAAGATTCAGCAGGATAAAAATAAATAAATAAATAAATAATAAAAATTTTAAAAATGTAAATAATAGAATTTCTGTTACATTGTTAAGAAATATTCATGAAGATCTATATCAGGGGTCCTCAAACTTTTTAAACAGGGGGGCCAGTTCACTGTCCCTCAGACCGCTGGAGGGCCGGACTGCAGGCCCAGGACAAGTCAGCTGCTAAGCAGGAGGCAGCGGCAGCAAAAACACCCAGCAGGCCGGATAAATGTCCTTGGTGGGCCGCATGTGGTCCTCGGGCTGTAGTTTGAGGACGCCTGATCTATATAAATGAAGAGATATGCCATATTCTTTGAATGAAAGATTCACTATCATCATGATGCCAATTCTCTGATAATTGAAATAAAAAATAAGAAGTCTAAAATTAGATACGTATAGGAGATCACTCGATTTTCTCCATGTACTTCAACAGAGAAAGGAAGATATTTTCAGTAAATGGTGCTGAAGTAAATAGATAGCTGTGTGGAAAAGTAAAAATGAACCTGGACAACTTCCTCACACTATACATCAACATTTACTCAAGGCAAGTCTGGCTCAGCGTCCATAGTGCAGTGAGTAGGACACCAGCCACAGACACCGAAGGTGGCGGGTTCAAGCCCGACCCAGGCCTGCTAAACAATGACAACTATAACCAGAAAATAGCCGGGCGTTGTGGCAGGCACCTGTAGTCCCAGCTACTCTGGGACGCTGAGGCAAGAGAATCGCTTAAGCCCAAGAATTTGAGGCAAGGGGATCACTTGAGACCAAGAGTTTGAGGTTGCTGTGAACTATGACATCACAGCACTCTACTGAGGGTGACAAGTGAGACTCTGTCTCACAGAAAAAAAAAAAAAAGAATTCATATGCAAAACGTATTTTAAAATCCTACAAATAGATAACAAAATGGCAACACAATTTAAGAGGTGGGCAAAGGACATAGGCATTTTATGAAAGAAGATACATGAACAGTCAATAAATATATAAAAAGATGCTCAATATCAATAGTCATCAGGGAAGTGCAAATTAACACAGTGTTAACTGGTCACAAGCCAGCCGGTCACACAGATAGTTTCTGTGTAAAACTGCCAGTCAAGGACGATGTGTTAAGACTACAAAATGATCCCAGCATGCACTGTGAGAATGGCTAAAATTAACAAGACTGACCGTGCCAAGTGTTAGGAAGGATGTGATGCACCTGGAGCTCTCGTACATTGCTGGGGTGAGCATAGCACTACCCAACCACTTCGGAAAACTGCTTGATATTTCTCTTAAAGTTAAAAACAATCCTAAGCTATAATCCAGAGATTCCACTCTTAGGTATACACCCAAGAGCAACGAGGGCATCCATCCAAAAAGAAATTTGTGCAAGAATCTTCATTGCAGCTTTATTCATGATGGCCCTAAACTGGAAACATTACAGGTACAAATGTCGGTTAATAGGAGAATAGATTTTTGTTGTTGTTGTTGCAGTTTTTGGCCAGGGCTGGGTTTGAACCCACCACCTCCAGCACATAGGGCCAGCACCCTACTCCTTGAGCCACAGGCACTGCCTGAGAATACTTTTTTTTTTAAATTTTGTGAATTCATTCATTGTGATGAATAAAAAGGAATGAATTAACAAATGAATTACATATAAAAATGTGGATGAATCTTAGAAAGATATTATGTTGTGAGAAAGAGGCAGGCATGAAAGAGTACACGTTGTATCATTCCATTTATATGAGGTTCAAAAACAGACAAAACTCATTAATGGAGGGCGGCGCCTGTGGCTCAAAGGAGTAGGGCGCCGGCCCCCATATGCTGGAGGTGGAGGGTTCAAACCCAGCCCTGGCCAAAAACTGCAAAAGAAAAAAAAAATCAAAAAGAAAACTCATTAATGGTAGTAGAAGTCACAATGGTGATTCTTTGGGTGGATTTGACTGGAAAGGCTCATTTCTGAACTTTGAACTTTCTAGGGTATCAGAAATATTGCATATCGTGATCTGGGTAGTGGTCACAGAAGATATACACATGTAAAAAGTTAATGAGCCTCAACTTAAGCTCTGTGAAGGTGGCTCTGTGTAATTAACCCTCAGTAAAGTGCTGTGAAAAAAAATAAACTTAAAAAAAAAATCATAGAAGCCAAGGACTACCTTGGACCCCACCCAGGCCAGCTGCTCTCCCTCCCCCAACAAAACCCCCCAAAACATGGAAGCAAATACCAGGAGAATCTGTCAAAAGAGTTTAAAGTGGTTGCTGCTCTTCATAACAAACCATTTAGGACTATTTAACTTTCCAAGTATTTGATAATAAAAACTAAAAAAATTTAAAAAAATTACCTCTCCTCTAAATAGTTGAGGGGAAATGCATTGTAAGCATTCAGTAAGGATTTATCGTGTGCAGAGGGGAAGGAAGGAAGGGGGGACGGAGGACAGATTCTACTATAGTGTTTGATATCCGAGTTGTAGACTATGGATAAAAGATTCATGTATTGAAGATTCCACATCACTGACAAATAGTTGACAAAATTCTGCCCTCTTCTCCACCCACATGATGCCTCCCCACCCCCCCCAAAGCCCTGCAATTACTAAGTGTCACAAACACCAGGAATCAGGGTGGTAGTCATAACTGGCCGTGTGACCTCCGGCAAGTCCCTTTGCCTCCTCTATATACAGGCTTTAGAAGGAAACCAGAGTCTAGGTTGTCTCATATGTCCCTGGAATCTAAATCACCAGGATGCTAGGGCTCAGGTTCAAAGCTCTGTACGTTCTACTCTTTAAACAACCAACCCGCGTTCCCCCTCGGGACTTACCAGCCAAAGAGGTTTCGCATAGAACGTTTTCCAGGGAGCTGTGTCTGCCTTGGCCAGCTTCCTTGAGTTTATCAGGGTGGTCTTTTGTGACATATTCGTCTCCCCATTCTTTACCATCCTTAGGCTGCCTCCACATGCCAGATGGGAGATGGCCCTTGGATGGGATATCAGTCGAGAGGCAAGACTTGAGGTTTTCTTCTGTTTCTGGAGGTGTTGGGTTCACACCTAAAACAAACGAAGAAATGAAACAAAACAAAAAACCACTTGCTATCAAGATTTCACTTTTAAAAAAATATGCATTTTTTGCTAACTCTTAACTAATATGCCCCAATTTGGGAACAACCATCACTTAAAATTGAATGTATCTATTAGTTTAAAAGTTTCCATAACCGTAAAAGGTCATCTCTCTCTGTTTCTGGTCTAACGTCCTCTATGCTTTATACATAGCCTCTACTAATAAGGAACTCTCAGAGACAAATTTTTAACCTAACTAACTTACAGTAATATACATTGACTCCTCCTAGCTGCCTCCTTTCGGGTGAGCACACCAGGTGCCTGGAGCACTACTAGGAAGATAATGCAGAAAGAGGAGGAGAACGGGTACCAGACACAATCTCTTCTTTTGCAGGGTTTCCCTTGGACCCTCATGAGGGTAAGTTGCAAAAAGGAAAAAGGAAGGGAGGGAGGAAAGATGAAATAATTTATACAATTCTGGTGAGTTGTCAATTACATGAATAACTTTTGAATTTAACTACACAATGTGTGATCCAGGGAAAACTTATGTCACGTTACACTCACCTGCGTGTGAGTTTTGGGCAAACATTAATTCACTAGTAATTGAAATAAGCCACAAAGAACCAAGAATACTGATTTTGTCTTAAGCATCCCAGCCGTTCTCTCTCCTTGGGTTTGAACGAGTCCCTGACCTAAGCACACATCTTAGAATCCTAATAACCTCAGTGCCATCTTGCCTGATTTCTTTCATGCCTAGTTTGGGACTAAGGGAGTGGAAGCAGGGAAGGAAGAGGGAAAGGTGGATTTACTGGGAGAAAAGAGAATGAAAGAGCCACTTACCAGGACCCATCATCCCCTTCACGTTGCTGTCTCCTACATGAACGGGTCTGGACTCTTGGGCTGCAGAGAAAGGACAGCTTCAGTCAGCATTCATTCCACCGACACGGACTAGGCAATCCTTCTGTGAGAAAGGCACTGGGGACAAACTCACAGATTTTATTGTTTCATAAGGAAGATGGAGCAGTTAAAAAAAAAAGGAATATGTCAGTATAATGTCACAACTGGTATTTTCTCAGCTATAAAAAGATATAATAGTGGTACTTTCCTTAAAGGATTATAGGAAGAACTAAATC